GACGTCTGAAAGTTTCCTTATTTTTTTTAATCGCGTACACTGCCTAGCCGAGCCGTTTTGATAACGTACTTATATGGGGACCCCATTGCAATTTAGCATCTAATCTGGAATTACAACTGTATCCACAAGATTCAATTTTTCGTTTCTAACTACAATGTTTGTGACCGTCTCTCTAAAATTGTGTAATGTAAATTTCACACAATTTGTTTTTTTCTCATTAAGGAGTAGGTTATTAACAGCAAACCAATCAACTGCTTTAGATATAGCATTGTTCACATCGTCGTAGGAACAGTGCCTTTTAACTTTAAATAATAAGGAAGTATCATCAGCAAACAATACTATCTCATGTTTTATACCCTCCATTAGGCTAGGTAAGTCATTAATATAAACTAAAAATAACAATGGGCCTAGAATTGAACCTTGAGGGACAGTCATGCTAATTGCAGACCCTGATGATCTCGTACCGTTACAATCGACCCTCTGTACCCTATCACGCAAATACGATTAAGAAGGTCGAGATCACGTCCCGCCACACCATAATGGCGAAGTTTTCTGACCAGTGTACCATGGTGCACACAATCAAAAGCCTTGGAAAGGTCACAGACTACATTCCCATGCATCAAATATATGATTAATCAACTCGACACCAGGATCGGTTGTAGAGCGACCCCGAGTGAAACCAAATTGTTTAGGAGACATTAATTTATTACTATAAAAACACACACATCTGATTTAGAATAATTTTTTCAAATATTTTACTGAGAGTTGGTAGTATTGATATAGGTCTGAAATTGGTGGGGTCAGAAATACTACCAGATTTGAAAAGAGGAATAACTTTACTTTGCTTCATGTGGTGCACCTAACTTTTTCTTTTCATGAAAAAAACATAATGACACGTTCAACTACGCGAATTTGACAATGACAATGTTGACATTAAATTGACAACGATAACTAATTTTGTTTATTAAAACTGATATATTGTAGTTCCACTGTCTTTCATCTACCATTTTCCCCGCTATAGTGAGGTGAAAAGTTGTGTGTTTCGCTCGGCAGCAAAGTTGTTATGCATCTCGTACCTTGAAATCCACGATACGCTCAATTCTCACGATTCATTTTTTAATCTTAGGGTCGTATTCTAGAACTCTACTCAATGCTCAAGTCAGGACTTGAGTATTGCAGTGAGCACTGAAAATCATACATAAATAATAAATAAATAAATAAATAAATAACGCACACACTCAACATAGCATCATATCAAGTGCTTGAATCAAGTCTGCTCAAATCGGAATACGACCCTAAGGGTCTTTTGCTTGCTCAAGTTTCAATACAAGCACTCGCGTCAAATAACAACTTTGCAGCATTGCATAAGAAATATTTTGTCTAAAAATATTTTTGACATCGAAATTTGTAATAAGCATGGAATTATTCCAAATTCCGTATTCACCGTTTCTGCCTACGATTTCGGGCAGAAAAGGGATTAAAACCCGGCTTTCGGTAAAAACCAGATTATTAAATCTCCCATCGCCCATCTCTGGTAATAACTGCTCAAATACCGAACCGGAGTACGGACGGTTGTGGTAAACTATAATTAAACTTTCTCCTTGGAGGTGAACTGTGCCTCGGGGTAGGGAGTATTTGAGTTATACAATAAAATAAAATATGCAGTAAAGAATTTTCCTGCTTAAACCGTTTCGACTGAAACTCAGTTCTTCGTAAAATATTTGTTTCTTTAACCGGTAACCTTCCTCGCACTCTTTCCCGTTAAGTAGTTTATCTCGACTGAAATTCTTATACAATCTTTTCAACTCATGGATTTTCTTAAGCTGCAAAATTAAAATCTCATTCTTTAGTTAAGTATGAGATTTTAGCACTAGAGCTCCATGTGAAAGAGTTAGTCCAGGAAAGTGTGCTATCTTACCTATTTCTGCCGCCAAGCAGTAATGTGAACAGATTTTGAAGGATAAGGGTGCTGGTGAAGTTAGAGGCATATGCGACTTGTCAATTTATGTCTCAAGGGCGCAATGGAAGTCCCCCTCTGATCTTTGTGATTTATATATCTGAAAGGCACTGCAATATTATGGACAGGCGTATCATTTACCACCAGACTAAAAAAAGTCTCACTAATTGTTAGAGCGGTTACACACGGTGACTTTTTTTTTATAATACTAAGTGAAAGGACGAAAAGTTGTGTGGCTGGTGGTAAGCGACACCCCTTTCCCTAATAATTGCAGTACCACTCAAAGCTTTTAATAGCGATGCGAACGCAATTTAATAGTGATGCAGTCGCCAATCGTCTACCCTTAGGCCTAGTTCCCACTATGCTTTGCCGGGTCGATAAAACTGCCGGAAAGGCTAGTGGCAGTACAATTTATATGGAACTATTCACATTACGTTGGACCTAGCAAGAATGAAAGAAAGTCATCACAATAAATCATCAAAAGATGCAAGAAAGATGCTGCATTCCAAAATAATTGAAAATCTTTAACTGGTCACTTCTCACCAATAAAAATCTTTCCTGTGATATAAGATGTACCCAATCTTTTCTTTTTACTGTGTTAAGCCTTCTATAATACCACTACAATACCATATTTTCGTCGTCTATCGTGCGCAGTGATCTGAATTCGACTGAGGTGAGGACTTTAGTCTCCGGATTTCTTGCGAGATCCGGCCTAACGTGAACACCTAGTGCGATTGCCGGTTTCTCGGCGAATTCGCCGGCGCCGGTCCGGCGTAGTGGGAACTAGGCCTTATACACACGCGCGATTTTAAGCAGCGATGCAAGCTCCCGACTGCATCGATACAAACGCGCGAATGTTACCAGCCTGCATTTGCCGAATTATGTCGATGTATCTTAAATAAATAGATATTAGGTATATTGTGCGTTGATTCAATATGCTTAATTTTCTTTACTTTTGATTTCCTAATATCTAGGAGGTATATAAAAAAGTATTCGAAGTAAATCTTAAAATTTTTCAACGTTTACTAAAAACTAGGTTTGTTAACAGACACCAGCAAAGTCATAAAACAAAAAGCCATATATCATAGAAGATGCAAAACAATTTGCTCTACAGTTTAATCAAAAAATTCTTTACAAAAGAACGAGTTGCACTTTTCAAAACAAACATCTCGTCGACATCTAGTGTTACCGCCGCCATTATACTGTCATTGTTTGCTCACCATTTTGTAACTTCAAAAGCGGAAAAAGTGGAGTAAGCCGTTTTTTTTTTTTCAGTTTCATTTCCAGCCCATTCCGGATTTTTCTCGGCCTTTTATGACACGAGGCGACTTTGCGTTCAACTTTTGATGCAAAATTTTACGGTTGAATGCGGCTATTGAGTGTAGAGAGCTTATTTTTTACATACTTCGCTGACATATTAATTTTGTAGTCAACCAATAAAAACGTACATTTCAAAATTGATTTTGCATGAAAGTACACAATCACAATTTCGATTAATTGAATTCCAGGAATGTTATTTAGGACCTTCGGGTCACCAATTTAGGTGTTCTTATTCGGTGGTAGTTGAGACCAGAACCAGAATACATTTATTGGCAAATATCGCTATAATTATATTAATCTAAGAGCGCTGAATATATACTCTCTAACTGTTAAATACACAATCAACCAATGAACCCTTTCATTTTCCTATATTATTTGCAAGAGCGAGACAGATGTATTGCTATTTCGCTAATATATAGTTGCGCGACCCGAGGACTTGTCGAGGACATAACGTATGCAGCTACAAACCTATTTGACAATTTAGTATGTGAATTAGATTAAACCTGGCCTCGAACTTGGAAACTCCTTGTACTTATTGAGTACCAGAGAACTAGAATTAGCTCCACGGGTACTGGCCAAAACGTAGGAGCGGCATGAATCTAGAACTGTTCGTTTTCTAATCGATTTCAGACCCTCTTCATCTGGCGCCGACATTGCAAACCGCTGAACCATAGGATAGTCAATCATTGTACACAGTCCTTTGTGTAATAATCACTGCAGTTATCGGTAAATGCATTACAAGCTTTCCCCATATTTTATCGTTCACAATAATGTGGTAATAAATGAATATCAATTTGAAATCGTTTTGCTCCTCAATCACAATGAAAAAAGACAGAATGAGTACACAAAGGAGTATTCAATTTCAACGGCATGGCGCAAATAGATTTTTCACCTCAGTTTTCAATTATTGTTTTTATTACCAGCCCCAATAGTTCTATTGGGGCTGGTAATTCAATTAAATACAATTTTGATATTGTACTTGAGGTTTTTGAATGGAGGAGATAATCATGTGAGCATTTAAGTATTTAAAAATATGTGTAAATTTGATATAAAGTCAACCTTAACCTTCAATTTTACATCTGGTACAATTATGGAAGTCGTCTGGGCAAGTACCACCACCTATCAACTTATACGCAAAACGACATTACTGTGATTCGAGTTCAATTATTGGAAAAGCCAGCGCAATTACAGGTATATAAGACTTATGATTGTACGATTCAAGACCGGTCACGCATTTGCAACAAAGAAGTCATTTCCTTGGTGTCGTAAACGTTTACAGGTAACCACTTTGTAACAGGTGGACTATTTGGCTGTTTACCAGAATTTATTTATAGTTACAGAATAGCCAACTTCATAGTATGGAAATATGTCACTTCGAACGTGTCGTAACAAGCGAATAAAATTTGTATATTTCAAACTGTAATAATAGATTTACATGGTGGTGAAGGATATAATCACGAAGGCATTGATGATTGTCTTTGATGTGCAAATCAACTGTCTACCTAGTTTTAAACTAAAGACTCCCTATCCTGTAGGTATCAGAGATAACCAATTCCAAAGGCAATACCCAATATCCCAAGATCAGAAGCTATGAAAAATTCAATCGATCACGAAGTTAGTCATTCATTACTTTTTTGGGTGGCTTGGGGTATTCAGGGTTGCTATATTCACCGGTGGACGGACGTATTTTGGATGACGCTAACGATGATATTGCTTGTTACAGAGATCTCGATCTCCCAGCGGTTCTGCGCAACGGCAGCTCGACGAAGCAGATCTCTTCATGGATCTTATTAAGGACGTCGCTAATGAACTGGATATCGACGTGCTTTGTCATAAGGTTAATATTTTTAATAAATACTTTAGGTTTTGACTTTCAGGTACACAAATTCTAATAGGTATTCTAAAATGTCCATCGTACCAAAAATGTTTTGTGTCTCATAACGTTAGATCCCACAGTGACCAGTACTCAAAAATTATAAGCGAGAGTCAAGATCAAACTTACGCCATAAAAGCTGGCTCTTGAGCCCTCCGTAATTTAGTAAAAGATATACCGTCACTGTTACTGAAAATAAATAATATGGCTCCTTTTTCTCTAAAGTTACGAAGTCTCGAGTCTCTCATTTAGCATATTAAACTAACGAATGTGAGTTTCATCTTCATAAAATATCGTATGAACAAACAACCCGTGTCGAATTCACCTCAGTTTTACCGTCTCGTGGGAAATCGGCGACATAATCAAGATAGACATAAGCCAACGCAATATATCTTAGAGTAACTTTTTCGTCCTGGACTTGAGAGCTACAGACTTGTCACTATAACACACGATATTCAGTTCTCTGCAGTTTTTCTTTGACCTCTTTAGGCGTGGTTACACTATTCTTTTGAGGAGGTAGTAGTCATCCTAGTTTACAAAACAAACCTTTAATTTGGAAGTTGTCATGTCAGGTTTAAAGAGTGTACTTTCTTTTCGATTTTCAACTATATGTATTTAAGATATTTCTACTAATTGTATATCATTAGCTGTCTTTTATTAATAAAGTAATAGTATGTGGTAATTCTAAAATTAACAGACTAATAAAAGTGTTCTGATTACGAGTACTCACGTAATTGTACACTGTTGTCGTGCTCTAACTGCTTTAATCTGACGCTGAAATTACTCGATGTTATTGGAGAGTCTACTGCGTGAAATTGCTTATGTATAAAGCTCTGGAGTAATATAACATTTGTATTACGTGAACGTATAAAGTAAATTTTAATTTGTATATCTGTAGGGAACCGCAGGAGTTACCACAAATCTTTTTTTGTACCTTTCTGTGTTTATAATCTTTTTAACTTTATTATCTTTATATTTTTAATTGTAGTATTGTAGTTATTTCTGGTGTTAATTCTTTGGTAATCATTGACTTACAAATAAATGGACGACGGGTCTAATACAAAAACCACGAAAAAATGTCCCAAGTCAACCTATTTAAACGTAGTGACATGTCAAGGAATATGAAAAAGCTAAAACGTTGAATTTAAATTGTAATGTCATCGCAGTACTGTCTAATTTTGCTTGCTTCGCTGTCAGTCGAACAAACGAAGACTAGAGCGTGAATGACGCTCTGTATACGATTTTAACGCCCTATAAGTTCGGACACTTTTTAGCGCGGACCCGACGTCCATATAATTGTAAGTCAATGTTGGTAATCTATGATTTTTTTTTCTGTGATTGTTTTAACACTTGTGTACATTGTAAGATTCTGGCCTTGCTCTTTCTGGCCGTAGGCTTCCTTCAATTTCTTACACTTCTGGTGATCTCGCCATCCAACCATCACTTGCATTCTGCCCATTTCTTTGAAATGATCTTTAATATCAGGACTATCATTCATCTCTCATTGTAGGTAATGTGACACGCCGCACATCTCTGTTTGTGCATTCTTATGTGGTCCTCCTCTCGTGTCCTTACGATGATCATTTCAGTAATCTGCAGGACGATCTTTCATCACATGTGCGCAACTATTTTAATCACGATCTCTCTTGTTTTGGTTTTGGAATGGTCTTGTGATCGCTCAGAGTAATATCGAGCATTGTTGTCCGTAATGTCCGTTTTCCACAGACAGCCCGGTAAGTATCATGGCTTCTACCTTGTAGCTAAAGTGTGAAGATATTGCTCAAAGACTTTTCAAAGCATAAGGTGACGCGCAATATATAGTCTCTCGACATTTGCTTGGTTTGGTTTTAACAACACAACTTGATTTCGTGACCGAGATAAGTGTGTTACTTCCGATATCGATTGGTAATTTGTAATTTAAGGTATGAGAAAGTTTAATCATGAGTTTAGCATTTTACTTGTTATTTTCCAAACCGATTTCAACTGATTTTCGCGTCTTCTTCGAAAATTTCCCAACATTTGCTGCAATTGATATCTAAAAATGTCGACGACTTTGCGAACCTAAATGTTATATCTACTCACCATCAATATTGATGAGTTTCTCGTCAAAATGAATTCCTGTTTTTTTAAATTGATACACATTAATATTCGAAACACGGTCTTCCATCTACGAGTATACGATCTAGGTGGAACGTACACTCGGTGTAAAGGGCTGTACGGGTACCCTGTTTACATGTAGTGTACTTGAAATAAACAGCGCGATTTATTGCAAGTTTAAGCTGCTTACGTATGATTATTTTAAGTTTAAGCTGCTTATGCATGAAGCATTTAAAATAAAAGAAATCAGAGAACAAGACTCGCCCGCAATCAATGTACAGATCGCGCTGTCAACATAATTATTTTAGTGCTGCATGACCAATACAAAAATAAGCGCTTCACACAAATGAACCCTCTCAGGGTATTATTATAATACCGTTCGTACAATCCTACACCACTCCAATTAAGTCAAAACACTACATTCCACAAAACTAGTACGTATGTAAATTATACTATCCCTACTAGATGTATAATTAAAGTTGTCGTTCTAAACTTGCCCCTTTGAAATGAAATAAAGTCTTTTTAGGGTAATATTCCGTTCAGAACAAAGACTGGTTTAGAAACTGTTTTCACATTCAGGCTTCGAAACCTAAAAATGTAGCTATATGGAGAGGCTGTATGAAGAACCGTTACCTACCCAAATAAATGGGTGGAATTTTATAAAAAAAATATAGCGTTATTCATTTGTTGTCGTATTTTAACTCGATTTGAAATGTAACTCAAAGGGTGAACTTTATAAAAGTCTAAGTATGCGGTTGGTAGGAGATTGTATATTTCTTTGGCTGAATGCCGGAAAAATTTCATTGGAGTGTCACTAGCAGTGCGGCTGTGTAGATGGTACAACATTGTGAATAATTTGAAATAAGGAATTCTTTACATTTCCTACGATGTTTTTAAAATGTAAAAAATTTCCTCGTTTTATTGAGAAAAGCAATTCCTACATATTATTCGCCTCGTGACTTTTCTATGTAGAAAGAATTAATGAAAGAAGATTGACGAAATAGATGTGAGCGGACAAGTTGGTAAGGGCTGAACAAGACGAACTTATAACGGTTAAATTGAAAATGTCCTAAAGAAAGGTTAGGTTATAAGTACCTACTTATAACCTAACTTTACGTACCTCCTTACGTACCTCGGGTCTATGCGAGCGTCTATGCGAGTTGCGGTCGTAAAAAATATGTGTTAGGATAGTAGCAGTAGAGTTCCTTGTGGAAGAGTTCGTCCAGTAGGTAACGTACTCACCGTGTCACCTTACCTATTCCCGCCGCCAAGTAGTAATGTGAGCATTACTGCATTCCAATTTTTAAAGGTAAGAATCGTGGTGATTTTTTTTTATAGATAAGTGCGCACTTGACCTCTATCTCACCTGATGGAAAGTGAAGATGAGGTCGACGATGGAGCATACACACCTAAATAATGCCTATTCACTCTCGCCTTGAAAAGGCCCAAGTTATAACGTTCAGAGAACAAGTCTGCAGGCAGGAAATTCCTCTCATTAGCCGTTCGCCATATAAATGTGGAAGCATCACGCTTTGTGCGAATCTTTGCAATATCCATAACATAGGGGTGGAACCCAAACCTACGCCTAGTCCCCCGGTGATGAAAAGAGGAAGGCGGAATTAAATCGTGTCATTCAATCGCACACTCTCCGTGATATATCCTATAAAATACCGATAAGCAGGCAACTTTACGGCGGTGTTCAAGGCTCTGCAGCTTCGCCTCCACTAATTCCGAGTCACCTATAAGCCTCTTGGTACGGTTATCAATTGAATCCAAAGTGGCCAGTTGGTATGTAGTAGAGCCATCACAAAGGTGGCAGCAGTACTCCATGCACTACCGGACTTGCTTGGTACAGCTGAAGCAACCGTCCCGGTGTAAAGAATTACATACACACGGGAGTTGACAATTTGTGTTTCAGGATTTAGGGCGCAGTGGCAGTGTCCCTCAGATCTTTACGATTTAAACAATAATAATAATACCATTACCTACCACCAGGTGCACGACTTGTTCGTCCTATTACTTGGTGTCATAAAAAAAGATGTGTAGGAATATACGTATTATTTGCCTTTAAATGGCATTGTTAGGATCTTAGAAGATGTCGTCTGCGAGTCAGAGATATTTTTGCTCTCTGTATTAAAGTATTTTTTTCCTTTTACAAGGCTACCGTGCGCCATTACCACTTTCGAAGAAAACTGAGATTGTGCAGTTCCACGAGCACTGAAAGTCTGGGAAATAAAAGAAAACGTGAACTTAGTCTCGGGAGGAAAGTTCACAGAGAAAATTAACAAAAACAATGGAAACATCGAGAAAGACAAAAGTATTGAACAGAACAACGTTTTATTCTTTGTTTTCTTTTTTATGTTACAAAGTGACAGGACGAACAAATCGTGCACCTGGTAGTAAGCAACACGCCTATCCGTTTTGTAGTGCCACTGCGCCCTTACCTGTCACCCTGTGGCATAAGTTGACAAGTCACATGTGCCTGTAATTTCACCAGCACCCTTGCCCTCTAAATCCGAAACGCAGTAATACTCACATAACTGCTTGGCGGCAGAAATAGGTAAGGTGGTAGTACTTCCCTGGATGAACTCTTTCTTATGGAGCTCTACAGCTACTTTACATAGAAATAATTACTAGATCGTTTAGGAAGTCATGGCAGTGAAAAGACGCTAACATACCAGCCGTGGTATGTTAGCGTGGTATTTATCCTATAGTTGTGCCATTATTCCTAGTAGCCGAGATTTTTCTTTTTAATATTCCAATGTTCCACATCTTTCTGCCGGAAAAGTCCATTAGCTTCCAGAGTCCGAGCCCACCTGGGCGCCCTCGGGCTTGCTACTTAATTCATTATACTACGGGTTAAGAGG